AGTGCTGAATAATAGGCTCCTCTGGCATTACGGAGGGCCTTTCTATATGTTTTAATACTATCTTGCCAAATTGAACAATATTCTAATATTTTGGAAGAACGCCATTTCCTTTCATATTTCCTTTTGCTTTAATTGGCGGGTTTGGTGGTTGTACCACGGTAGCCTCCTATGTTTTAATATTTTCCTTTTTATAGGGGCAATAGAATCTAGTGTTGTTCGCAGTGAGCCTGCAGCACTATTAATGAGATGATCAATTTGGGAGGGACTAAAGTTATTATAGGAGTCCTCTGTTATATTCAGACTTGAATTAAACACTGATGAGTAGTGGTGTTTCTTCTCCATTCCAGGTTTCATGAGCACCATTAGACCAACAGCGTGTGCTTCTCCTTTAGTCTTACTTGCCTTAATCCAGGACTCAATAGTCTCCAACTAACTAAGCCAAATTTAAGCCACGTTCATGAAAGGTGCTTCCACATTAAGGCCCACTCCTGGCTTAATCTAAACCCTGGCTGTAGAACCAGCCCATTGATTTCAGTATACTTACATTCTGTCACTTTTCACTGAACACACCACATATTCAAAACCGGTTTAGAATACTAATATGTATATAAAATGTTTTATGTAGTACAGGTTTTAGACACACCTACTGTCTTCTTGTTAGAAGTTGTTGCAGCCTGAGAGGAAGCTTGCAGCCACTACTCAGTGACTGAGGCAATTTTTTTTATATATATATTTATTTTTATAGCACATTTCATTACACATAAATTCAATGTGCTTTACATTGAAAGACAAAATATAAAAATATAGGCACAAATCTATACAAGAGTACACACACACACACACACTGGAGATTTACCCTAACCTGATTTAAAAAAAATACTAACACTGACCATAACCTACCCCTAATATGAATAGTTCTGATACCAAGGCCACAAACACGACACAGTTGTCTGTGGTCTGGAGTCACAGACACGACTTCCAGTTCTTACAGCTGTGTTTTGTAAATATAGGGATACTCGCATGAACATAACAGAAATTCGGAAACAACTTTAACCCAGAATCTTTAGGCAGTGCACCTGTAGCACCTGTATCAGCTGTAGCATGCAAGTCGGCCAAGCTGATGAAGTGCTCACTAGTCCGCTGTGTTGGAGGATTTTTCAATTACAGCAAAAATGGACCAAGTTCAGGCAGCCTGTCACTGCAGATTCAGTCAGGGTCGATGGAGCATTACTGACGTTTGTGTTTTTTGACTGGTCTTTTGAGTTATTTATTTATTATGGTTGACTTAGTTAATATAGAAAGTAAACCTTCGTCATAGTGTAGTAGTAAAAGAAAGAAGAAAGATCTACCATTATTTAGAAAGCATGGTAACCAATTTAATTGTAATTTGCTAGGTTAATTTATGTATATACATGCAAGAAAAAAACATTTTCTTTTTTAAAACTAATTTTGTTATTGTAGCCTTCGCTGAGTTTGGAAGAGCACATAGTTAAAAATGAACAGAATGTCATGGTACACGGCACATCCTGTTTGCCTCTCTGCTACATGTTAAAAGCAAAAGCAAAAAAAAAAAATGTCTTGTGTTTTGACAGGTTTCACTATGCGGCTCGGATCTGGGATGGGGTGAAAAAATCCTCAGCCCTCTCCGAATACAGCCGCCTGCTCTGCTAACACCTTGGTCGATCTGCTGTTGGATACAATAGCTGTGCAAGCTCTTACGTCCGCTAATCAGGTCATTTAAGGAGAAATTTTGCTCTGAAAGTGGAGACTGTTGTTTGCACCCTACAAGTGAAAATGGAAGGCCAGGCAGACACCATCTTCGGGTCCATACACTTTGCTGTGAATGAAAACGAACTGAGTCTTGGTCCTCCATATCAGAAAGTTGCCTATCACTGCCTTCAGCAAATGTGACCAGGAGAGCCACATTCTGAACAGTACTGGTGAGAAAGGGAGATAAAATTAGTCGTCTGTACATGTGTTTTGTAAACCATTATTTACTATGTGACGCTGTAACTGTGGTTTCGGTGTTAGGATCGTGCACACGTTTTCTGAGATGAAAATGCAGCCATCTCTTACGTTATTTTTTTTATTTTCTTTGAAACATCAATAAGAAATGTAATTGTCAGTTACTCAGAAATAAAAGCAGACTCTAATAAAATTATTTTTTGTGTGGTTCTTAAACCTGCAGAACAAACTGCTTTTACACAATGATGCCACAAAATTTACACAGGAAATGTAAAATGGCAAGTGGCACATTAAGTTTAATTTCCTACACAAACTCAACATTCTTAGTTGCTGTTTGAACATGCTGTGGCTTAAGTTTCTGTTCTATGATGGCACGAACTAAGAAATGAAACTTAAAGTTTGGTTCCCAGGGAAATAAACTTGTTGAGTAACTTTCTCATCAACGGCCAACAAGTGAAAACGTGCACAGGTGTTCAATTAATCCATGACAACCCTTTCTTCAACGTGTTGATAAAATCATTTTCACATACTTTAACAGCCAAACAGACTGAAAAAGGTATACGTATTGTATATGTTACCCAACTACCTGTAAAGTTGCCATAATGGGTGACATTGACCATTTAAAAGTATATGGCAGAACTAGAAGCCTTTTGCAACAAAGAATGAGGGGGAATCATATATAAGAACTGATAGATTTTCAGATGGCTACAAAAAGTGTTTGTCAGAAGGGGGTACTAACATTTTTGCACATGCCAAAAGGTTGTTTTGCTTATTTTTTTTTTCTCTCTTGTACAGTGTTTATATTATATTATATTATATTATATTATTTTTTTATCTTATACTGTCTTTATACAGTTTTTTTTCTCTATCCACTTTG